GTGAAATCTCCATTAATAGATGTAAATAATTTATATCTATTACAAGTATATTTTAGTTAGATGGAAATATACAGTATTTAAACCATTGAGAGTTTTGCGGCATCAAACTTTCTAGCTTCTATACTGGTGTAAATGTGAGATGGGGAAACAGCTCTCATTGTTTGAACACTGTTTGTGTGCAGTAAATTATTGTGTGGAGTAAATTAAATGTTCTGGAGTGACATTCTGCAGTTTAGCCACAAGATGCCACTGTTCTCCTAACACAGCCTCAGACTGCATAGATATTTCTATAGTCATGAAGAGGTGGGGTTTTTTCACACAGAGTTTTAGAGAACAGGAAGGAGAGAGACAGCAGCCATGTTTAGAGGATGGTGAATGCAGGAGCCGTGTGAGCAGAGAATCTGATGGCATCCAGGTGTGAGAGCATCCCTCAGTAACCAGAGCTGCAGCTAAGTGAAGCTGATTATGTCCAAGACCCTGATCCTGTTCAGAGAAAGGAAGATTGCTGCCAGGAATGCTGATGAGAGCAGAGGAACAAAGCAACATACACTGCGATATCGCTTGCTTGTTGGAGAGACATTTGTTCTGTTCAGAGTCACCAGCGGATACAAAGCAGAGTCGGGTCGGTAAGATCATGCACGCACCTCATTTCAGTGTTGGCGCCTAGAGACTGAGTCCAGGCTTATAGTTAGTTAGTTAGTTAGTTAGGGTCTCTGTTTGTGTCAGGCCACAAGTGTTATTACTGATCATTGGAAGGACTCCATAACTTAAAGTGACATTTCACATTGGAGAGCTGATAACATCACACAAACTCAAGCCAGACTGGCGGTTTGCTCAGAAGGAATACTCAGGCACGTGCTACAGGATCAGTTATGGGAGGGGGGAATACTGTAGATTTGTGTAAGATTGTAAGCTGTTGTGCTGCACCGCAGGCTAGCCCATACCGTACACCCATACACTGATTCCTGCTCTTTTAGGGTAATAACAGGTAAGGTGTGGCAGCTTAGTTGTGCCCACCAGTAGGTAAATTACTATTACTATTATCCATCAGGAGGCGCCATGCCGTGCAGCACAAGGGTCTCAGCCTTTGGGCTGTGTGTATGTAAATTTATTGTATGTTCCCAGCATTTGTGGTTGTGTTTATTTGCCACATCTAAGTAAAATTCTGTTGTGGCAAAAGCTGGTGTTGGGGTTGCTATCCTCGTTCGTGACTTCACTGTATCCTGGGGAGTCCACCCCGGTACACGGCTTACATAAATATATATTGAGTTTTCCACTATGCAAGATTTGGCCTTTTGTTGTATCATTAGCATATCTCACATGAGTGGTAAACAGCAGCCTTCTTTGAACTTCCAATCAGGCTGTGCCCAATATACATTGGCTACATTTTCTAATTAATTAGCATTATATTAGCCACAGTACAGAAAGGAAGGGGGGGATATATGGTCTGGTCACTAAGCTGAGGGTCTCTTTGTGATGAGACACACACAGCAGGCAAGATGACTAAACCTGAAGTTGAGAGGTAAACTAACTTCATACTTGTATTGTACATTGTATTGTAAACATGGTTTTGTGGGTAAATTTTAACTATCGTATAAGTCAAGAGACTTAAACTGTACATTGTGTTGTAAATACTGCTTAGCGTGTAATTTGTATATATTATGTACCTCTATCAATAAATGTATATTGCAGATGGAACTACCTCTTTTGTGTAGAAACTCTCAGATCTAGCTGTGTACATGTAAATACTCCTACAAGGATTGGGGTGTATTCACAAATACAGGTAACTTAGTCAATACCTTAGTATATGCAAGGGGACAGGGTCCAAGGGGCAGGTGTTTAGGTGGGCATTAGAAAAAATAATCCTAATTAAAAGGTATGCGCTAATAACAAACTTACACAAAGGTGTATATCATCATCCAAAAAACATTAGTGTTTTAAATAAATAATTATAGTGTCCAAACATAAATTAGTGTCCAAAAAATATATATATATCTTCAGTGACTTGAACCGCCCCTTGATGACGTCGGTGTGACGAACCGGTTGGGCGTGGCCTACTTGATGTGGACGTTAGAGAGCCTTGCTGGTCTGTGCTGTATGGGAGAGATCCGCGGTGAGCGTTAACTGTATCTCAACCCTTTTTTGCGATTGAAGCTGGTGTCTGTTGGACACCTTGTTTGTGAGTTTCCTTATACCTTTTTTATTAAAGAGATAAATGAAAAAAACGTATTGCACCATTATGTTCTCTTTATTGTCCCTGAGTGTACTGCATGCTCTCATGGAGGTATGAGAAAGAGTGGAGACGTTCATCATAAGAGCTTGGGCTGCAAAGTTGTTTGTCTGTGATTATTATTATCTGGAAGTATCTGAAACATCACCATATCAATTTGGACATCGGGTTCATTGATCCCAGAGCACAAGCGCTGTTGCTGGTTTATATTCTGACCAGCCATTAGCTCTGGTGAGTTCATTTAATCTCCTTTGGTGGTGGATTTTTCACAATTGGTTCAAGTCACTGAAGATATATATATATATTTTTTGGACACTAATTTATGTTTGGACAATATAATTATTTATTTTAAACACTAATGTTTTTTGGATGATGATATACACCTTTGTATAAGTTTGTTATTAGCGCATACCTTTTAATTAGGATTATTGTTGCCAAAATTTATTTTGGGTGGGATATGCTGCTGACACTTTGTGTGTTTTTTGTATGTGGCGCTTTTTTCTTTTTTAATTTGGTATTAGAAAAAATGTTTAGAGACCTCTATAGTAGCAGGGTTAAACGAGAGAAGTATTGAGTGTGCAGGTGGACATGGAAGATGGGAGAGACATTGGTACAGTGGAGATCTCATGACACATTGGGGTTTATTTACTAAATCTGGAGAGTCCAAAATCAGACTCCCTTCTGCATAGAAACCAATCAGCTTCCAGGTTTCATTGCCAAAGCTTCATTGAACAAGCTGAGGTTAGAAGCTGATTGGTTTCTATGTAGAAGGGAGTCTGATTTTGGACTCTCCAGATTTAGTAAATAAACCCCATTGCATCAATCCTATTTTTTAAGTACCGTATTTTTCGCTCCATAAGACACACCTGACCATAAGACGCACCTAGGTTTTAGAGGTGAAAAACAAGAAAAAAAAAATATTCTGAACCAATGGACTACAGACACAGTACAGGGGATGACCAGAGACTGCGGACATAGTACAGGAGATGACCAGAGACTGCGGACATAGTACAGGAGATGACCAGAGACTGCAGACACAGTACAGGAGATGACCAGAGACTGCAGACACAGTACAGGAGATGACCAGAGACTGCAGACACAGTACAGGAGATGACCAGAGACTGCGGACACAGTACAGGGGATGACCAGAGACTGCGGACACAGTACAGGGGATGACCAGAGACTGCAGACACAGTACAGGAGATGACCAGAGACTGCGGACAAAGTACAGGGGATGACCAAGAGACTGCGGACACAGTACAGGAGATGACCAGAGACTGCAGACATAGTACAGGAGATGACCAGAGACTGCAGACATAGTACAGGAGATGACCAGAGACTGCGGACACAGTACAGGAGATGACCAGAGACTGCAGACATAGTACAGGAGATGACCAGAGACTGCGGACATAGAACAGGAGATGACCAGAGACTGCGGACATAGTACAGGAGATGACCAGAGACTGCGGACACAGTACAGGAGATGACCAGAGACTGCGGATATAGTACAGGAGATGACCAGAGACTGCAGACATAGTACAGGAGATGACCAGAGACTGCAGACAAAGTACAGGGGATGACCAGAGACTGCAGACACAGTACAGGAGATGACCAGAGACTGTAGACAAAGTACAGGGGATGACCAAGAGACTGCAGACACAGTACAGGAGATGACCAGAGACTGCAGACACAGTACAGGGGATGACCAGAGACTGCGGACATAGAACAGGAGATGACCAGAGACTGCGGACACAGTACAGGAGATGACCAGAGACTGCAGAAACAGTACAGGAGATGACCAGAGACTGCGGACATAGTACAGGAGATGACCAGAGACTGCGGACATAGTACAGGAGATGACCAGAGACTGCGGACACAGTACAGGAGATGACCAGAGACTGCAGAAACAGTACAGGAGAAGACCAGAGACTGCAGACACAGTACAGGAGATGACCAGAGACTGCAGAAACAGTACAGGAGAAGACCAGAGACTGCGGACATAGTGCAGGAGATGACCAGAGACTGCGGACATAGTGCAGAAGATGACCAGAGACTGCGGACAGTGCAGGGGATGACCAGAGACTGCAGACAGTGAAGGGGATGACCAGAGACTGCTGACCTTTGGGGAGGGAAGGGGAGCGGGTACCTGAATTTGACAGGTACCCGCTCCCACCTCCGCGGAGTTGCCTTCCCTCTTCTTCCCGGGCTGGCTTCTGTGACAGCCGGGTGCCCACTGCGCAGGTGCGAGAAGCGCTTCGCTTTGTGAATGGCCCGGCGCCTTCTAGGACCTGTCATGTGTCCCAGAAGACACCGGATCATTCACAAAGCGCAGCACATGCGCAGTGGGCACCCGGCTGTCACAGAAGCCGGCCCGGGAAGACTGTGCAGCGCTGGAGCGAGGAACAGGTAAGGCCCTGCAGGAAAGAAGAGCTGAGCGGCCGGCCCGGTATTCTGACATGGTGGCCGCAAAAATACCGGACCGGCCGCTTTTATATTCGCTCCATAAGACGCACTGACATTTTCCCCCCTTTTTGGGGGGGAAAAAAGTGCGTCTTATGGTGCGAAAAATACGGTAAGTTGCATTCCCCTGGGCAGTGAGTTGAGTCAGTAAGTGGAGACTGTGAAGGACAAAGTAGAGAGTTGAAGGTAGTGCTGATGGACACTGCATAAGGGGGTGTTAATGATAGTGATAAAATACCTCCAGAAGTTAAAAGAACCAGAAGGGTGGGGTGGTAATATTACGAAATTAAAGCTTTCATACCTGTAAAATTTATTTTTTATGTAAATGAAACTTAAAAAAGTTGTTGACAATTCTATCTATGACTTGTTTCAAATCCTTATTTCTTAGGCTGTATATAATTGGATTCATCAACGGGGTTAACGCGGTGTACAGTATTGATAGGAATTTAGTAAAGTTCAATAACTGTCCTCTCCTAGGTATCAAATACACAAAAAGCAATGTACCATAAAACATAGAAACAACAATCAGGTGGGAGCTGCACGTTGAGAAAACTTTCTGTCTACCTTTAATAGATGGGATTTTAAAAATAGTGACTATAATATAAACATATGATACAATGATGATAATAACTGGGAATAAACCAAAAACTACACTTGTCGATATTGCTTCTATTTGAACAATGGTTGTATCAGAGCAGGAAAGCTTTAGAATGGGGTCAAGATCGCAGAAAAAATGGTCGATAATATTGGGGCCACAAAACTGTAACGTTGCTATCTCTAAAGTAAAAATCAATCCAGAAAGAAAACTTAAAATCCAACTTGTTATGATTGATTTCCAGCAAAGCTGATGACTCATTAATAAAGTATAATGCAATGGTTTACAGATGGCCACATATCTGTCGTAAGACATCGCTGTCAGCAGAAGACACTCCGAGGTTTCTGAGACAGCAAGGAAAAAAAAACTGGGTGAAACAATCAGAAAGTGAAATGATGGCGGTATTTTTCTCCGACATAGACTGAAACATGGTAGGAAGAACATCCGTTGATAATAAAATATCTGTTACAGAGAGTTGGGTGAGGAAGAAGTACATGGGAGAATGGAGGGCTTTGCTGTAGGACACCAGTGTGATGATCAGGAGGTTTCCACATATTGTCACATAATATATCAGAAGAAAACAAAAATAATAACAAAAATGTTACAGCATGTGGAGTCTGAAACCCTAAGAGGTGGATCACATCAATGACGGTCTTATTTTTCTCATCCATTATCCAAGCGGAGAACATTTATTCTTTAAGGCGAGTTCATTCAGACAATGAAAAGGTTTGAGCTGAGGTTTAAGTGAGGAAGGGGGTGAATGGAAAAAAATGAAAGTAGGTGAAACAAGAGCGACCAAGGAAGGAACGGAAGAGTCAACTAATAGCTAGTAAGCTACAAATGCAATAAAAAAATACAAAACATTTTAAGTAGCATTAGAAATTAACCTCCCTAGCGGTCTGATTATGTCAACATTTCTGTGCTCAAAGCGGTACATTGTTTTGCATGGAAATATGTTGTTTTTTTTATTGTAGGCCTGTAATTCTTAGGAATAACTCACTGAAATCTGTTCCGAACAAGAGTCTAGTAAACATCCCGAAACACGAAATCATAAATTATAATATAATAAATAATCATAAAAAATAATAATATAATAATAAATTTAATTCAATAATATAATCAAACCAAAAACACTGAAATTTGAAATATAGCGCCAAGTTCTCACATCGCTGATCTCAGTCGCAGAATTCTTAGGAATAACTCACTGAAATCTGTCCGGACAAGAGTCTAGTAAACATCCTGGGGATGATAAAATGATAAAATTTGAAACATGAAATCATAAATTATAATTTATTAAATAATCATAAAAAATAATAATATAATAAATTTAATTCAATAATGTAATAAAACCAAAAACACTGAAATGTGAAATAGAGCGCCAAGTTCGCACATCGCTGAGCTCAGTCGCAGAATCGTTTTCAGTGTCTGATGAGGAATTTCCCCCACGAATCATTATCACTCAATTCTGCAAGTGGTTCTGATTTACTATCGCTGTTCTCTAGCCGGTCTAAAACCGCTTTTCACCTAAAGGGACGCTTTTTGGACGCCATGGACGTTTCTCAGTTTCCAGGCAGAAAGAACAGTAAAAATGCAGGCAGGGCGCCGGACAAAGCACTCGGGACAAAATGTATGTGAAATGGGTTGATACAGGAATGTTATACTATGTGATTTTAGTGTATTGAGTGAATGTCATTTTTTGTCATTTTCAAATTTCCCGCCGTTCCGTCCCCCTTACGTCCCGACGCTCACAGGGAACAGAACCGGAAGACAGATGCCGGCATTGGCCGGAGGACATTACAGGGGACACTGCAGGAGGGACATCGCGGGAGCGCAGGACAGGGTAAGTGCAGAAGAGATCCCGGAGCAACACTGCAGTGTATTCCCAAGTGTAGCTCGGGGGGGTTACCGCTTGTAGTGCTGAAACTTTACCCCGAGCTACACTCGGGAATACTGCCAGGGAGGCTACGGCAGATTCCACAATTACCAATACACTCAACACAATACAGAATTGAATATGCAGTCAAGTGGTAACTGAATGGGGCACAATAATAAAAGAATATGATTGGCTGATAAAATGATTCCAGTTCTTACACCTGATTGTGGAATACCGGACCTAGATCTGACTCACTTAAAGAAAGACATTGTACATGTAGTGTTGGGCTCCACCATTTTCCTTCTTCAATGCGGGGTGCATCCTGTGCTGTGATAACTAAGTAATGTTTACTTCTATGAAATATTATTTCGGTAAGTACAAAGAGAAGTAGTGCTTTACAATGTACACATTTCCGTAGACTCCTTTTTACTGGATAAAACCTGTGATTGCATTATTGTACTTAAAGTGTTACTAAACCCACAACAGTACAATCAGTCTGTAGATGCAGTAAAGCATGCTTGTTATACTCACTGTGGAACCGAAGGGGTTAATCCTCCACATTGTGTAAAAATGTGGTTTGATCCTATCATCTCTGATCCTCCCCTTCTTCCAGTGCCCCCTCTTATCTCCTGATGAAATATATTGTGTGGAGACACCCTGCACATGCTCAGTTTGGTGTGTATTACTATAGAGTTTTTTTTTTTTTTCTGGGGAGAGTGTATGTGATCAGCACAGGGCCAATCATCACTGTGCAGACAGAGGTCAGGGGTTCTGCATCCTCCTAGAGCAGAAAGACAACTCCTGCTACAAGCTTTAACTAGTGCTCTACTTGACACTGATAGAAGTCACAAGACTGCTCTAACTTCTGATGAGAAAAGGTATTTAGCAGTTTATAGTTACTAAAAATAATAGCATTTTCATATTTGGTGTACTGTGGGAGACCAGATATAGTGAATGCAGGGTCCGGGGAGAGTGGAAATAGTGAATACAGGGTCCGGGGAGACCAGACATAGTGAATGCAGGGTCCGGGGAGACCAGATATAGTGAATGCAGGGTCCGGGGAGACCAGATATAGTGAATGCAGGGTCTGGGGAGACCAGATATAGTGAATGCAGGGTCCGGGGAGACCAGATATAGTGAATGCAGGGCCCGGGGGAGACCAGATATAATGAATGCAGGGTCTGGGGAGATCGATATAGTGAATGCAGTGTCTGGGGAGACCAGATATAGCAAATGCAGGGTCCGGGGAGAGCGGATATAGCGAATGCAGGGTCCGGGGAGAGCGGATATAGTGAATGCAGGGTCCAGGGAGACCGGATATAGTGAATGCGGGGTCCAGGGAGAGCGGATATAGTGAATGCAGGGTCCGGGGAGAGCGGATATAGTGAATGCAGGGTCCAGAGAGAGTGGATATAGTGAATGCAGGGTCCGGGGAGAGCGGATATAGTGAATGTGGGGTCCAGAGAGAGCGGATATAGTGAATGCAGGGTCCGGGGAGAGCGGATATAGTGAATGCAGGGTAAGGGGAGACCGGATATAGTGAATGCAGGGTCCAGGGAGACCAGATATAGTGAATGCAGGGTCCGGGGAGACCAGATATAGTGAATGCAGGGTCCAGGGAGAGCAGATATAGAGAATGCAGGGTCCAGGGAGAGCAGATATAGTGAATGCAGGGTCCGGGGAGAGCAGATATAGTGAATGCAGGGTCCGGGGAGAGCGGATATAGTGAATGTGGGGTCCAGAGAGAGCGGATATAGTGAATGCAGGGTCCGGGGAGAGCGGATATAGTGAATGCAGGGTCTGGGGAGACCGTATATAGTGAATGCAGGGTCCGGGGAGACCAGATATAGAGAATGCAGGGTAAGGGGAGACCGGATATAGTGAATGCAGGGTCCAGGGAGACCAGATATAGTGAATGCAGGGTCCGGGGAGAGCGGATATAGTGAATGCAGGGTCTGGGGAGACCGTATATAGTGAATGCAGGGTCCGGGGAGACCAGATATAGAGAATGCAGGGTAAGGGGGAGACCGGATATAGTGAATGCAGGGTCCAGGGAGACCAGATATAGTGAATGCAGGGTCCGGGGAGACCAGATATAGGAATGAATGCAGGGTCCAGGGAGAGCAGATATAGAGAATGCAGGGTCCAGGGAGAGCAGATATAGTGAATGCAGGGTCCGGGGAGAGCAGATATAGTGAATGCGGGGTCCGGGGAGACCGGATATAGTGAATTCGGGGTCTGGGGAGAGAGGATATAGTGAATGTAGGGTCCAGGGAGAGCAGATATAGTGAATGCAGGGTCCGGGGAGACTAGATATAGTGAATGCAGGGTCCGGGGAGAGCGGATATAGTGAATGCAGGGTTTGGGGAGACCAGATATAGTGAATGCAGGGTCCAGGGAGAGCAGATATAGTGAATGCAGGGTCCAGGGAGAGCAGATATAGTGAATGCAGGGTCCAGGGAGAGCAGATATAGTGAATGCAGGGTCCGGGGAGACTGGATATAGTAAATGCAGGGTTTGGGGAGACCAGATATAGAGAATGCAGGGTCCAGGGAGAGCAGATATAGAGAATGCAGGATCCGGGGAGAGCGTATATAATGAATGCAGGGTCCGGGGAGACCAGATATAGTGAATTCAGGGTCCTGGGAGACCAGATATAGTGAATGCAGGGTCCAGGGAGACCAGATATAGTGAATGCGGGGTCTGGGGAGACCAGATATAGTGAATGCAGGGTCCGGGGAGACCAGATATAGTGAATGCAGGGTCCGGGGAGACCGGATATAGTGAATGCAGGGTCCGGGGAGACCAGATATAGTGAATGCAGGGTCCAGGGAGACCAGATATAGTGAATGCAGGGTCCAGGGAGACCAGATATAGTGAATGCAGGGTCCGGGGAGACCAGATATAGTGAATGCAGGGTCCAGGGAGACCAGATATAGTGAATGCAGGGTCCGGGGAGAACAGATATAGTGAATGCGGGG